GAGATAGAGAGAGAGAGAGAGAGAGAGAAAATTTCTTTTATATACTTATATTCTATATATTAATTGCTTTTTCGCAAAGCTTGATTCAATTGTTAGCAAAATCGATATTTTGTAGTATAACACAATATAGTAACAATCAATAGCTAATATATTATTAACAGAATTATTATTTTATGAAATAAATGAGACTTTTATGTTATTATTTTCATGTAATAAGTGTTAATTAAACATTATCGAGAGATCGCGAACCGGCATGCGAAGTCAGGATTTTGGCGGGAAGAAATTTTTCCGGTAGAACTCCTATTTACCTACATAACATGGCTCTCTCATCGTATTTGGACCGACTTTCAATTGGGAGCTAGCGACTCTATAGGGAATGTCAGGAACTTGCGCGCAAAAGCTTTCGCGGTGAGATGCAACTATTTACTATCGGGGAAGAGGGAGGAAGATGAGAGTGTGTATAATAGTCTTTCCTTTCTCTATCTATGTAATACATATATATATATATATGTATATAATCCACGCGATATAAACCGTGGTTTATGCTGCATCTCGAGTGCATCGTTATCTGCTCCGCCTCCACGATAATTTAATTGTTCGCCGGTGCTTGCAGAGCGACGTCATTTTCGCCAAGTTTGACTTATTACTTGCCCCGTATGCCTCTGCTCTTTCCGCATTAGACGCATAAATTATTATCGCCCGTTCGAGCAGAGTTCAAACGTTTACGCAACCTCAACGATACCATATGTAATCGAATGACTTCATCATAGCTACGTATATATAAATTTATTGTATTGATTATTAATAAATTATATCTCATTGTTTATTTCTGACAGTAATAATTGAATAAGGTAAGTGACTCAATAAGTGAATGTGCTTAGCGATTGAAAAATCAACAATATATTTGTATTATTATATTTGTTAATAACAAGCAAGAAAGAGAGAGAGAGAGAGAGAGAGAGAGAGAGAGAGAGAGAGAGAGAGAGAAAGAGAGGAGATAATAAATTAAAAAGAAATTAAATATTTTGTTTCAAAATAAATATTTAAAAAATATAATTTGATTGCAAATTATTGCAAAAAAAATATGTCTATTATTTGAAATGGTCGCAAGCATAGTCATATTTTCATTCATCATTTCGAGTAAGACGTAGTGTTTATATTTTGCAATTTTAAAAAATATTGTACTATTTACATAAACATATAATATTTTTTTACGATTGTAAGAAATTGCAAATTAAATTAAAAAAATTTCAGTTCTTATTATTCAGTTCAGTCATTGAGCATTTACTCTATATAATTATACGCACATCCATGATCTATTTAATATGAATAACAAACTGTCTAAATAATTATGCGTTTAATTTAACTTTTTGCAAAGAACCAATAACAATTATTATACAGATATGCACAAGTTTATTTCGAAGCTTTTAGCTTTGACAGGAAAGAAAAAAATAATTTTTCTCGCATTTCCGAACGTACTTTCTATAGCCACTGACTCTATATAATCCAATAAATTTTCCGCACGAGTGAAAATCCGCGCGCTGTAAGAAAGACACACTCTTTCGGTAATTGTGCAACGCGGCAAGCGGAGCGTGATTTACTTCGTATACGCCCGGGGCGATTTTATATGGCGGCTAACGGAAGATAATTTATTGACGTTGCAATATCCATCGGACCGAAGTTCGGAAACTTTATTTATATACGTTGATATAGGGTGCGGTCCATTTGACGCTACAAATGCTTCGAAGCTTTTGACTGACCAATCGGAAGAAAGAATTTTACTAATTGACCAATCAAATAAATCCTTCAAAGCATTTGTATCATCAAGTGGGCCCATAGCTTATAACGTTCTATTTGATTTGGGAGCCACTGTGTGTTGCTCGGGTTATACTTTCATCTTTTAGCTCTCTGTGTATTCGTCCATATTCCCCCTTCTTCTCCCCAACCCTACAGCCCGCTCCTCTTCACTCTTCTTCCCGCCCTCGTCCCAGAGTTCTTCCAATAGTAGTTTCCCTTCTACTATAACCTTTCTACCGGTCGGCTTCTCTCTCCCTCTCTCTCTCTCTCTCTCTCTACTGTCATCCTCCCTTTCGCTCTTTCCCCTCAACCCCTTTCTCGCTCTCCGTCTTTGTCTCATCTCGCCCTTCTCTCACCATTCCTCCTCAACCCCCGCACATCCTCCTTCCCCATCCTACCCACGCGCCTCATTCCGTCGTCCCCACTTATTCGCTCGCTGTGCTTCTCCCCCGACGTGTGTTTCTCTTCTCTTCCCCCTTGGCTCGCGACCGGCGCTAGCGATGGGCCCGATCCAATTCCCCGCGAGCTGTAATTTTCAATCGATTCACAAGCAGCTCTCGTCGTCGAAAGCCATCGACAGACATTAGAATAATCGCTGTCCGATCTAATAATTGAATCATGCTCGCATCACTTTTCGTCACTTCGCGTTAACTCCTTGCGCGACGTTCCGTTAAATAAAACTTCAAAGCATATTTTCCGTTTGAGAAACAGATAATGTGCCTTGGAAATTCTCTTTACTACGATGATATTAAATTTACAAACTCGTTTACGTCAGTTAATCACTCTGCCGAAATTATTAATAATTCTTTAGAATTTATTTCTATTGTAAAAAAAACATAGCTGAAAATAAAAGATAAAAAATTTCATTTATTTTGTATATTCCCTTTACATATTTTATACATTTCAATATATCAATATTTAATATGTACATCAATATATATGTATATTCGATACATTTTATATTTAAATATATCAAATTTTATTACGAGACTAGCTTAAAAATATTTTACCCATGTTGATCATGTATTGGATTGAAATAAAAGTTCGTAGTGCTACGAATTTCACAATTCAAGCAGCTGTAACTTTGTTAAAAGTGAAGGAAATTTAAATAAAAAAAAGTTTTTAAAACTTTAAAATCTACTTTCGAAAGGTTATTACATCTTTGAGTTTCTGTAAGTTTGGTAATTTTTGTCTGTAGAAAACTACGAGCAGGATAAAAATGGCAATTAAATTATTGTTTACAGATTTTGTATTAAGATCCTTCTATAAGAAGTCTGCCGACGAGCATCAAAATTGTTAAATTACTTGTGATTATTACTCCGGCTTCGGTTTAGGGTTGTGTCCCAAGATCGACGAACACTCAGCTTGAATTGGAAATTGTATAAATTCACAAAAGAAATATGATTAGGAACGAAGAACCGTCT